CCCCTAAACCCTGAACCCCTAAACCAAAAACCCCTGAACCCCTGAACCCCTGAACCCCTGAAACCCGAAACCCCTGAACCCTAAACCCCTGAACCCCTGAACCCGAAACCCCTGAACCCTAAGCCCTAAACCCTGAAACCTAAACCCTAAACCCCTAAACCAATAAACCCCTAAACCCTGAAACCTAAACCCTAAACACTAAATCCCAAATTGTGCTCGTGATTGTGCTTGTTCTTCTGCTCTAGTTTTGTAGTTTGTGCTCCTGCTTGTGTGTTTTTTCTGCTCTAGTTTTGTAGTTTGTGCTTTAACCTGTGTTGATTCTTGTGCTGTTTTTCTGCTCTAGTTTTGTAGTTTGTGCTTCCAAAATTGCGCTCAGTAGTTTGTTCATCGCGGTTGTTAATTAACTTTCAATTGCGGGCCCGTTTCCACGAAATCCCGGGGCCCGGAGGTTTTATATTAGGGGGGGCGTAATGTTAGGGGAAAGCGATTACTAACACTAGCAGTCAGGCGTCCCTGATGTATGTAACTATACCATACCAAAATTCAGGATCCCACCTAAACCCTAAACCCCTTAAATTGTTTCAAGGTCAATCAGGGATCCATGTTCAGGGCACGAGTTGACGAAAGCGTGGGCTTCGGAGAGAAGTAATATAGAGGCCTTAATAATTCGAAAAGGGTTTTGGGGTATGTTATACTATAGATATAATAAGGAACCCAAAATAGTATTGGTAATTATTAAAACCCCTATATGAAGTTGCAGAAACGAGAGGACCTACGATAGATCCGAAATACTAGGAGCCTGAACTATACTGCCTTAAACGGGTTCAAAGACGTGGCTTTGGCTAGCTTCCTGAACCTCGCAGAGCCTTTTGCATAGCCACCAGTATCTTAGCGGGTCTCTGACTGCGCCTCCTTGTTTTCTAATCAACCATTGAAACCCTACCCTTGCTTCGCTGGCCTGCGGATGCGACACTTGCCGTGCTGAAGTCTGCGAGAGTCAATTCACGCACATCTTCGGAAACGAGCACATTGTCCTGAATCAAACTCCATATAACCAGGGTGCAGGAAAGTTCAGGTCGCGATTGTTGTCGAGGCGATTCTTACAAATCGTGACAGTGTGCTTCGAAGACACATCGAGCTGGTCATGTGCACACAACACAGTAACATCTGGGATTGGTGTCAAGGACAACAGCGATACTTTGAGACGAACTTAGAGATCTGAATATTTAATAGAAGCGTCTCCTTATCATCCCCGCCTGATACTTTAATATTTCCGACGTGCTGTTCAAATCATTACTGCGAAACGTCTGTAACCTCGGTGAAACTCGAGACTCGCCCTCGTGTTGGATTTTTCTGGGTTGCATCACACGGAATGCTGTTGCATCGCAGGGGTTTACAGTAGCAGCCAGAAAGTTGGAACATCATTATCCTGGTACCCTTAAGGTAAAATATAAGGAACCCTTGCACTAATCATCCTAAATCCATAATCCAACTTTCTGGGGTTCGCTGTAGGGTTTAGGTCTTGGGAGTTTCGGGTTGTACAGGCTTCCGAGCTTCATCAAGGGCGGGGGGCGGGGGAAATCTTTGAGAACTCTTGGGCTTGGCGCAAGAAAGAAACGCATGGGATTTCTTGGGGTCTGTACTAAGGAGCCTAAACCCTAGATGATCTTCGCCTCCGAATGGTTTTTGAAGCTTTCAAGTCGGGTCGGAAACACTCAAACCTTGCCTTAACACCGAATAATGACCTTTATTTTTCCACCTGTAATTAGAAAGGAAATCAAATTCAGGAGCCTTGAGGTAGGTTCTCTAAAGTTGAGCTACTTCCTATACTTCTAAGCCGCCAGTCAAATCCTGAAATCGTACACCGAAGCCAAAAACTCGCCTGCACTTGCGCTCAACAGCCCGCAAAACTCAACTACCATGCCCCCAATCCCCTGAACGACCCTAGATCCCACCCCCCAAACCCAACCCAATGAAGTCGAGTAGTTTGCACAAGTCTTGGAGCAGATGGTACTGGAATTAAAATTAGGCACCTGAAGTCCTTCTCGTTTGTGTGTTCTTGCGATGAATATGAACTAAGTTTCGAGAAAAGGTACACATAGAGAATACAATGAGGGACCTGAAGGAGTAGTATGAGGTAATTAGTTCGGCCTATCAACTGAGCTCTCGACAAAAGGGACACATAGTGAAGACCCCCGCGTTGCTATGGTCGCTGACATTCGGTTTTTCCGTAACGCCCCAGTCTGTTCCATCAACCGGCAAACCTTGCACACTTAGTCTTTTCTCGGTTGACTTCTGAACCCTCCCAAGAAAGATAAACTTCTAGCCGATTCTAGCCTATACTTATTGTACTTCATATAGAAGCCCAAAGTTCTAAAGCCCTAAGAGCCAATCAGACGAACGCCAAGTTTTCTTCATGTGTATTGCACTGGAACGACAATGCTAAGGATACATTCGGAGTTTGGCGTGCAGGGGTTGTCGTCTGGGTTTAAGGCGCTGTTTGCTACCATTGCAGCGGTCAGTGCTGACAAACCCTAAACCCTAAACTTCCTAAACCCTAATCAAGATTGAACATTGTTATTCGACTGCCGCCTCGTCTGCCTTTGTGCCGGGAGGCCATGATTAAAGCCGAAAGATTCCGGAGCACTCTCACAGACTGGGGCTTCCGGCTCAGAAGCCGGTTCGACCCTAAACCCTGAAGCCCTCAACCCTGAGCCCTCAAGCCCGAAACCCTACACCCCAAACCCCATAATCCTAAATCCTGGAATGCGAAACCCGAAACCCAGAAGCCCTAAATCACGAAACCTAATAGTAGAAGCCAGAAAGTTGGAACATTATAGTTCAAGGCTCCATCGCACAACTTTTCTTGCTGCACGCCGCTCGACAGGTAACGGCTGCACATGTCCGGTTCAAGTCTTACCCCCCCGGGTGCCGTTACCCAAGGAGGCTTGCTGCACACTAAGTCAAAAGAGAGGCTTCCTTTCTAGCCTTGGCTTTGGCCATGATGGCCTTTTTCTTCGCCCCGGCTGCGTCCCGCAGCTGACGAAGCTCCTCTGTGTCCATCAAGGACCACTGGCCGCTGCCCATAACACGCTGTAAAACTCCGTTGCCGCTCCACTTCGTGAGGCCATCGGAAATCATTTCGGCCCCGGGGACCCAACGAACAAAATTCTGCTCATTGTCCTCCAGGGCCTCGCGGAGCACGGCGATGTCGATGAGCAGCTTCCGGTCTGAAGGGAGGTTCTCGGAGTAGAGGGCGTCGTAGGCGGTCTTCGCGTCCAGGACGAGGTAGTGGCGCCAAAGCATGGTGGCCATCTTCCACTCCTTGAGAGAGAAAGGCGGAAGCACCATTTCTCCCAAAACAGCCTTCACGTAGTCGCCATACTCGAAGGCTGTAGCTCCACTGCTCAGCTCAGCACTCATTGAGCAGCGAACCACACGCTGGATCTTGGCACTCTGGGCGTCGAGGATGGCCACGTTGGCTGTACCCGAAGTAATCCTCCGGTCGCCCACCATGATGATCATGCCCCCTTGGCTTCCTCCACGGGGCTGAGCGCCGTAAGCCGCGTCGGAAGCGGAAATGATACACCATTGGTCCATAGGCACGCCAAGCTTCCGCACCACCAAAGGTACATCCTCGCGAGCTCGCCGAACGACCTTGTTGAGGGCCTCCAAAGCGAGGGGGTCTCCAGTTCCAGCTAACTGTTGCCCATTGGAGGTCCCATACAGCAAATCGTAGCGAGCTTGCCGTCCGGCCCACATAAGCTGACCCACGGTCGAACTTATCATCTTCTTCTCCACCTCGGTCAGGGGCAGCATCGGGTCCGTGGAGGGCCGCGTAGGAAGCAGGGCGATGTCCTTGACGTAGTCGTCCATCTTGACGGGGTCCTGCTTCTCCCAGCGCCCACAAAACTTAACCCAACCTTCACATGCTTGGCGACGCTTCCCGAACTTAAGCTTCTGGTGGAGACGCTCCCAAATCTGCTCGGCCTGCTCGTCCCCGGTGTAGCGAGTGTCATCCACATGTATGGACGCGATGGCCCCCAGCTGGGAGAGGTTCCGCATCTCACAGAACACGCCAGGCAGTAGACGAAGTTCGCGAAGGCCCAACTCTCCCAAGGTGGCTTTATACTCTTGGTACCATAACCGAGGGGACTCCGGCAGACCAAAACCACCTCTGGTCATCTTGATGATGTCGAGCCGCGCCCCCGGACCAACGAAGAGACGGATGAGGTCATAGATCTCCTGAGGGTAGTCCTCCCGAGGCAGCCTCACGTAAACTTCCCGTTCAGGTGGTATCGGTCGACCTTGGAAAAAGGCGGCCGTAACATCTTCATACGTCACTGCCCACCCGAACTGTACCGCGAGGAAGTTCACCAAATTTTGCCCCAAAAGCGAAGCCGTAGGTGAGGAGGTCGGGTGTAGCCCGGCTTCACTGTCCCTGTGCCCCCCAATGATCCATCTTCCTTTCAGCTTGCACTTGAAAGGGTCGGGCTCCTCCTTCGTCTTGTTGGTCAGCACAAAGCGTGAAGACAAAATCTTTTCCGGGGGAATCCACCGGTCCTCGGGGACGCCGGCAATGGCATTGTGGTCGATGTACACCTGGATGGCCTCCACGATGGACGGGGTGAATGCCTTGCGCCACGTGTCGTCGAGCTTGCGCCAGTGAAGTTCCACCCGGTCCTTTCCAGTCACCAGGGGTGGCGCCTTAGCGCTCTCCTCCGTCCCAGCCTTGGTCTTGTCGAAGAGCTCCTGCACCTGTTGGGGGCTGGCGGCCTTGGCCTCACAAGCGGCATACACCTCGGAAACATCATCCAAATCTTCACCCCGAAGATCACGCCAAGCCGGTGACTCCGCACCGGTGACATTCACGTCTTGAGTCGGGGCTTTCCGGGAGCTCGCCGCGGTGGATCCACGGGCCTTCGGGGGAATGGTGGGAATCACCTTGCGACGGGATTTCTGGTAGGACTCCTCCATCTGTCCTCGGGCAGCGGCCTCCTCCAAGACGGTCGGGGGGTCCAGCTGCTCGGTCAGCTTCTCGGTATGCCTCCTCGGCGGCTCTCTTCTCACGTTCACGAAGAAGCTGCACCGGGACATCAGAAGCCACCGATCGGCGGAGGGCCCTCTCTTCCGTCGCGTCCCACTCCATCCCTGGGATGATGGCTGAATCTCGCGGACCCCTCATCTGAAGAGCTTGAAGAGGAAGAAGCCGACGACGCTTTACCTTGCTCTCCCTCGGGCTGCTCAACCTGAGCACGCCCTTGGTTCAGCTCTTGCTCGAGCTCCTTGACAAAGTCCGTGACCACAGCGGCACCCAGGAGCTCGTCGACGGTGGCCAAACGCAAGCGCTCCAAAGCAACGGCCTTCACGCGCCCCTTGAGCCGCACCCAGGCCCGCTTGGGAGTGGGGTGGTCTCTCTCCACACACACCACTGTGCCCGGTCCCACCCATGACGTGTTGTCGCGGACTCGGCGTGCTTGACCAGCTCGACTCTGCGGAGGCTCGTAGATGTAGACCGTGGCCCCTTCCTTGATCATCTCGAGGTTCGGCGGGCGGCTCTTCGCGTTGATGGCCCGGCGGAGGGTGCTCTGGGCATCGATCCACTGAATCGCGTCTTGTGCCCCAAGGCGAATCCGGTCCGCCCGCTGCAAGGCCTCGTCCTCCTCGAGATTCTGGTTGAGCCGGTACTTCACCTTGCCAGAGCACAACTGAGTCATCAAGGACAAAGGCAAGGGGGAGGCCCGGCCGGTGACAGCCTGAAGGGGGCAGACACCAGCGCCCGTGACTAACCGATTCTTTGCCGCCAGTCCCGCCGCCACCGCCATCCGCATGTCTTCGAGCCCCTTCAACTGGAGGGCGTCGACCATCTTCATCACCATGATCTTCAGTACTCCGCCGTGGCGCTCTACTTGCCCCAGCTGATACTTGGCGCCCTCCGGGATGACCTGGTGGGGCACTCCGAAGAGCTCATTGAGGACCGCCACGGCCCCTTGGAACTCCGTCCCACCATCTGTTCGAAGCACGTCGGGTGGGCCGAATATCCCGTACCAGCTGTCTCGGAGCACCCGGGCTGCCCTGCTTGAGTTCGGCTGAGAAAAGCACTGCCCCACGTGGAAGTGGGTGAGGCCGTCGATGTAGTGAACCACGCCGAACTTAGTGCCCTCCGCGTCGAAGACGAAGAAGCTGTCCCCGGAGAGGGCGGCATTGAACATCTTTGGCTTGAGGCAAGAAACCTGAGGGTCGTTGGCTGGCCCACGCACAGAGGCACAGATCTGACATCGAAGGTTGCGCGCCGCGGCCAAGACCTCCTCCTTGGCGCCACTGAGCACCAGCATCCGCACCAGCCGGTCATTCCCCGGGTGGCCCAAGGTACTGTGCAGATGGGCAACCGAAGTGCGAATGCCCCGAGGAAGTTGAGCCGCCTCGCCCTCAAAGGTGACATAGTCGTAGCGCTCGCCCGTCCTGCCGATCTGTGACAAAACCCGCCTCAGCTCCTCCTCCGGCAAGTGGCTGTTCGCCACAGGTGCCACGAACCAGCCATCATCCTTGACCGGTTCAGCCAAACCGTTCCAAGTTTCCACAGCACCCCGTTGACGTAGCACCCTTTCGACGGCTCCCAAAACGTAACGCCACAGACCTTCGGACCAAATCTGACCATCGAAGGCCTCTTCCCGAAGATCTCCACGGTGGCCCTCTGCGCAACTGCACCGGGCCTGGGTCTCGAGCTGCACGGCCAAGTCCTCCGCGTTGACGCCAAAATAAGAACGGCCTAGAAGACGAGGTCCAGAAAGAGGCTCTCCTGGGCGCCGGCCAAAGCCACACTTATCCAACACTAAGGTACGCCACCCAGGAAGATCTCGGAGAAACGTAAGCTCCCAGGCCTCTGACCCGAAGGGCTGATCCACCAAGATCAGGCCACCCAATTGGTGCTGATGCTTCCACAGCTCTCGCACCAGATACCACTCCTTCATGGCAGCGCTGCGGTCTTCACGTTGAAGGTCAGGATCATAACGGCGTCGGCGATTTGGAGGAAGCCAAAGTTCTCCAGACGGGCGCATGACGATAAGGTCCGGGCGTTCAATGGAGACCCACTGTTTGAGAAGCACTGTGCCGGTTGGGGTGTAGATCTGTAACCTGTGACGCTTGCACCCTATCCCCACGGATCTCGAGGACATAGCTCTTGGGATTCGCACGGGCCACCTTCGTCAACTGGGACATGGTCGCCAAGATAGTCTGGACCCCCGCCTTGAGCTTCTGCGTCAAACCCCTATTGGGACGACCGACCTTCATGACCACCGGCTGTTCATCATTGAGACGACCGACCTTCATGACCACCGGCTGTTCATCAAAATTACGACCCCCCTTGATCTCCAGAATCGGGTCGTAGAGGACGATCGGCACCGTGGCCCCCTTGATCTCCAGAATCAGGTTGTAGAGGTCGATCGGCACCTTGTTCCCCTTGATCTTCAGAATCAGGTCGTGGTAGAGGTCGATTGGCACCATGTTCCCTTGTCTCGCTGGGCGGTGGAGGTAGAGCATCGGGGGCTGTCCAGAGCCCGGCTGCACTCAGGCTCGTCGAATCACCTCCGCGTTGTTGGGGATGTGCTGCTTGAGTGCCCCCCAATGCCCCCACGCTGCTCCCACTTCCTTCATCAGCAGCGAAGCCACCCATCGTCGGTTTCTCTTCCACACCACGTCCGGGAAGGTCTTCATCACCGCCTCCCGCACGCGCATCAACCAAAGACAACGTTTCCAAGCGAACGTTATCATCCGGGACCTCAAAGAGCCGGCGATGTTTAACCCCAGATCGCTGCTCCAACAGTCGCTGAGGCTCGGGAAGTCCGCGAGGTGGCCGGTGAGAGCCTTCCCCGCGGCTCGTCTGGTTTTGGTCTCCTGCGTGCGAACTCGACGCTTGGCCAAGAAGTCCTTCTCCTCCGCGGTCAGCTCCGTCAGGTCGAAGAACTCGGTCGGCGCCTCCGGCTTCATCTTCGAGGGTCGCCCCGTAGGCCGAGGTCGCCGAACGTCCTCCTCGATCTCCACCCAAGCGTCGCGAGGCTCCTCGAGTTCCGGACATTGAGCCGCCACGTGCCCCAGCTCGTTGCACAGCCGACAGCGCACTAGTCCGCTGGAGCTCGCCTGACTCGGTCGCCGCCCGGTCTCCATGTGAGCGCGCACCGGCGTGGGAAGAAGGCGACCGGGATCTAGAAGCTTCAGGTTGTTCCTGCATGGAGCCCGGCTGTGGTTGCACTGAGTCAGCAGCAGGAGGAAACTGGAGAACATATACTTCAGCTCCCTCCGGCATGACGAAGTCTTTGGGGATGGGGCATTTACTCACTCCTTCGAACTCTTCAATGTTCATAAGGTAATGGCCATTAGGTCATTAGGTGCATGCGGGAGACCATACGCTTTGACCTTCAGTTTCGGGGAGCTCAGCCAGTGGTTGCCGCAGTCGATGTTCAGCCCAAGCTGTGAGCATGCCGGCTTGGAGAGTAATGGGGGGCAGTCACCTTCAACCACACTAAAACGCAAAATCACATGCTTCTTGGCAAAGGTGGCTTCAAAGGCAACTGCAAAGCGGCTCCGAAGCGTGTTCCCATTCCCGAACCTGAAAACCTCGGACTCTCGACCACTGCATGCCATCGCCCTTCCCGCTGCCACTGCGTCAACACACTATTCATCCACTTAGTGCCCACCACACTCTTCATGCACCCAATGTCGAGGATAACTTTGTTGGCAAGTTCCTGCATGCACCATTGAACATCTACTGGAGCAATCCCCTTTCCACGGCGAAGACGACGAGAAACCATACACTCCCACGCAACCCCGCACGACATGTATTGGAAGGCACTCGAGGAGGCGTCGGGCTTCTGCACACACGAAGCAAGGAGGCTCCACTGGTCGGCGCCCACCTCGCTAGGCTGGCTCGGCTGCGTCTGAAGGGGGGCCCAGGCAACCAACGTGGCATTCACATTACCTTTCTTTGGGCACTCCCGCGCCCAATGACCATGCTCTCCACAGATCCGGCACGGGTGGATCTTCATCTGCTCGGCGATGGCTCGGCGACGCTCTTCTGGCGATGGCTTGTCCCCCTTGCTGTAGTATTGGCGGAGCTTCTTCACCTCGGCAATCTTTTGCTTCGCCCGATACTGCAGCGCGTAGGCCTCATTAGCAGCATGCATCACCTCCAGCGCGTCCTCGGAGTTGCCCGGCTCGCTCAAGGTCTCCAGCTCCTCGTTCAAGTCGTCGGCTGGCTGTTCTGCAGGTTCGGCGGCCAAGGCTTGCTTGGCTCCTCTCCAAGCTCCCCTCTGAGGCTGGACCAGACATTCGTCTCCTTGGCGAAGCGAGAGGTCCGGTTCTCCCATCCCAATAGGGTAGCCTGGTTCCCCTTCCAACTCCGGAGCGAGCTCCACAAGGGCCGTGGTGATGGCATCCTCGGTGTCCTCGCCGGCCCGTGTCTTCACCATGGCTTTGTCTCGCCGCGTCAGACGAGCGTGGTCCAAGAGGTGCCCCGTGTAGAAGCTCTCGCCCATACTCATGGCCGCGTCCATACCCTGAAGCTGGGTGCGGTAGATGCTGCCCCTCGTGATGTAGCTCTCCATGCTCTCATTCGGCAGGCGGTTCAGAGACATCAGCTTCTTGCGATGCTGGTCCACGCGGTGGCGGTCCAACTGCCTTATAAGAGGGCTGAGCTCGAGAGTCTTGAAGATGAGCTGCAAGCCGTTGTCGCCATTAACGTCCTCATTGTTCAAATGGCGAACCAGTTGAGCCGCACGGTCCCGAAGTTGCACCATAACCCGGGGACCCACATATTGAGCAGGAAGCTGCCCCGCCTCACCACCCAGCCAAAAGGCGACCTGCCTCTTCCACTCGCGGTAGCTCTCGCCCGGCTGGGCCTTGAAGATCGGAGGGTACGAGGAAGTCACCTTGCCAGGCCCCTTCTTCTCCCCTTCTTCACCCGCAGCCTTGGGATCTCCTTGAGGTAGTCCGCCGTCAGGTCCTCGACCGCGTGGAGAAGCAGGGCCGCGTTCCATAGAAGGCTCCCACGGCACCGTGCTGTGCCACGACCGAGAGCTAGCCCATTGCGACGCGGCCTCCCAATTCTCATTGCCTCGGCGACCTCCTCGTTGGTCACCCCAATGGCCCTGGTAGTAGTCGCCGCGGCTGTCCTTAGCGAGGAAGTTCTCGGAGTCATACACCTTGCCATGCCACTGCCACCAGGCATCCGAAGGGTGTGCCGGCTGTCGCCAGGATTCATAGCCGCGGTCAGTTCCGGAGCGACCGCCGTCGCTTCCCACATGTTCCCAAGTTCCCGCGGACGAAGCCTCATCTGCGGCACCCTGGGGCTGCCAATTTGCATAAGACCGGGTGCGCCGCCCGGCAGCCTCTGACCAGGGGTCCCACTCCTGGTGTCCTCCCTCAGGTCGTCGATGGTCTGTCACAAAAGCAGAGTGTTCTCCAGCAGTTTGCTCAGGCCTGTCTTCGCTCCAATCACCCTCTGACTGTCCCGAAGATAAACCACCCATACGTCCCCACCTCCGGGCAGGTTCTCGCAAACTAGCTGCCTCACTCACCGCCGGCTCATCATCAAACAAAAAACTCGCCATCGACGACCAACCCGTCGAGTCGCGCAGCAGCCGTGGCTCAAGCCGTCCGCCCTGGATCGTTCACCCGGCTCCGCTGCCAGTTCAAGGCTCCATCGCACAACTTTTCTTGCTGCACGCCGCTCGACAGGTAACGGCTGCACATGTCCGGTTCAAGTATTATAGTCCTCATGCCCTTAAAGCAAAGTATAAGGGATCCCAGCACAAATCATCCTAAACCCATGTTCCAACTTTCTGGGGTTTAGCGTATAGCCCGAAGCCCTAAACTCGAACCAATCCCAGCCAAAAGGCGCTTTTCAAGTCACGGTGAGCGATTTGACGTTGGTGCAGGTAATCGATGGCAGACAGGAGCTGGCGGAAGAGATGCTGAGCCAGATATTCCTTGGGCAGCTCCCATGCGAAGTTCGAGGTTTAAGGCTTGAGGGAAGTAGTAGTAGTAGTAGTAGTAGTAGTAGTAGTAGTAGTAGTAGTAGTAGGGTGGTAGTAGTAGTAGTAGTACCAAAAAAAGGCATATGATATTACCTGTAGTCTCAAACCAGAAAAAGGAACTACAATGGAGACTATAGGGAGGGTTCAGATACCCTAAACCTTAAACCCTAAACCCTAAACCCCCTAAACCCCCTAAACCCTAAACCCAAACCTCCCAAAGCTGCAAAATTCTGAGGCTCGAAGCCCTTGGGGAGACAGCTGACAGCCAAAAGCTGGAGGTTTCCGGGCTTCGGGGTTTAGGGGTTTCACGGGTTTAGGGCTTTAAAGGGTTTGGGGTTTAGGGATTTAGGGAGTTAGGGTTCAGGGAGTTAAGGATTTAGGGATTTAGGGTTTAGGGATTTAGGGATTTTGGGATTTATGGATATAGGGTTTAGGGATTTAGGGTTTAGGGTTTAGGGATTGTGGGGGTTTGGAAGGCTTTCGGTTTTTAGGGCTTTGCGGTTGAGCTTGGAGGTTTAGGGATGTGGGGTTGAACGTTTTCCAATTTCTAGGGCTGGGCATTTATGGGTTGCACGGATTTAGGATTAATGCAGGGACCCTAATTATTAGAATAGGGTTTTGGGGGTTCGTTATTGTAATTATAGTAGAATATACACCCCAAACCCTATTCTGATTATTAAGGCCCTTATGTTAAGGGCTTCCAGCCTCGTGCCCTACAGCGCAGTTTTGTTTCTCGTTGGGAATGTTTTTCTTGGCAGGGTCTTGCCTGGCAACCTCTTCAAAAGCAGTTTTGAGGTTCACCAACATTGCGATTGCGGTCATTCTGACTTGGCTACTTGGAAGTGCATTTAGGGGGGGCGTAGGAAGTGAAACCGAGCCCGCGCAAAACTGACAATACGCCCGTGCAGAGGGTACATGGTCTACTCAGTCCCTGCATATATATATATATAGATATGATTTCTCCGACCGCTATACAAGGGTTCAGAACCCTGTAAGTCTACTCCAAGTGACCAAAACCGCGTAGCAACATAAACCCTGGAACCTAAACCCCTAAACCCCAAACCCTAAACCCCTAAACCCAAAGCCCTGAACCCGCAACCTCGGCACCAAACCCGCCTGCAGGTGCTGAAGGCTTAAGGTTCTCCAGATCCGAAAACTCCAAACTCCCAAACCCATGCGGTTTAGGGTTTAGGGTCTAGCGGTTATGGAAACCCCAAAGACGACCCCAATTGGTGCCTAAAGCCCTCCAAAAAGAAACAAACCCTGAACCCCCAAAGCCCCCAACACCCAATACAGGGGCCTAGATAAGTAGTAATACTATTTGGGGGTTCCTTATTTTTCATCTGTAGAATAATGGGCCCCAAAACCCTATTCTAATTATTAAGGCGCCTATATTTGCCTCTATGGAACCCCAAGACCTCTGTCTTCGATCATACCGTGTTGTACACGCCCCTCAAGGGTTGAGGGCTTTTTGTTTTAAGCGCAATGGAGCGGACTTTACGACCATCCCAGCCATGTCGGGCCTACAGTTTATAGGGTTTAGGGTTTAGGGTTTAGGGTCTAGGGTTTAGGGAATCCCGAATTTCACAAAACCTTGCAACCTGTCGTCTCCATTGTGGTTCCTTTTTGGGGATACCTGATAAAATCCCTAATATATATATATATATATATATTATCATTGGTTAAACCAGAAAAAGGAACTACAATGGAGACTATAGGAAGAATCCTACGAAATGGTCCAGAAGGCAACTGCACCGCTTCTTGCACCCAGGCTCGGGTAAGCAAGCGCCTTCGGCTTCTTGGACGGCGTTGGTCAGCGTCGAACCCGGATGGTAGCTTAAGACCACCACCGCTGAGCCGGGGAAGCTAAAGAATTCCAGACCTGGCAGAGACTTCTACGCTTGTAGAGTTTAGGTTTTGGGGCCTGGGGGTTTTAAGGGTTTAGGGCTTGAGGGTTCAGGAATGTAAGCGCACTTCTCCAGGGTTTGGCGATGAAGGGCTTCGGCTGCAAGGTTAAAGGTGTAGCGGCCTATGGGTGCTTACGACGGATGTGTATAAGGGTTCTACAAGTCTTCTATATCATATCAGAATTTTCAGGGCCCGTGATTTGTGGCATTTAAGAGGAACGCGTCTCGGCGTTCTTCAAAGGGCTCTACTACATTTTCGAGGCATAGGACCTAGGATTTCTGGCATATGGGCATGGGTTAGGGTTTAGGGTTTAGGGTTTAGGGTTTAGGGTTTAGGGTGGTGTTCGGGGTTCTGAAAGTTCGCGTGTGATTTTCGCCGGCCGGGTTTCGAATCTACACCCTCAACCCCATCGTGTCTCTGGCTTCTTGCTTCTGTTCCCGCTCTAAGTTCTTGGGGCTTGCGGTGTAGGGTTGAAGGTTTCTCGCTGCTGTCCCTTAGTAACCAGATTTTGCGGTTTAGAGTGCTTTGCTTATTTCCTTGTCTATAAAAATGCGTCATGCCGGAATCCAGCAGGCACCACCTTCGTAGCATCGCGACCGTTGTCTATAGAGCCCCTAAACCCTAATCCAATAAAGCATGCGCCGTTGCCCGAGCTCTGCTGTAAACTTCGCTTCAACAACTGGAGCCGTCAGTTCTGGCTGAGCTCTCATTCCAGGGCTTTTGGCATTCAGCCGGGAGAGAACATCAACATCAACAATGTTGGGCTGAACCGCTGTCTAACTCTCAAGAGCCAGTCTTACAGGAAATGGTTACGTCAGTTCAAGACATCTACTTTTACATGCTCTTAGGTTCGCAGTAGCCCCTTGGTAATAACAAGGGTACCCTCTGTTCCAAATATTTGGCTTTAATGAGGAGACCCCAAAGTAAAAGGGCAAAAGGGCACCACTGGGGAATCTGGGATCTAAACCGGCGTAGCATCCAAGGTTGAGGTTGTGGAAGTTAGAGCTTCCGTGAACCCAAGTTTGGAGCATTGGGTTTAGGGTTTAGGGCTTAGCTTGTAGGGTTTAGGGTTCAGGGGCTGAGCTAGACATGTGTCGGATTCGATGACATCGGAAAAATAGGGAATCTGGCATGGAGCCTAACCTGAAACAAGCCGGTAAGCTGTTGGTACACTCTGCATACACAAGAAATATCCCCCCGTCCCTCCCGCACAGCCCTGAACCCCCTAAAGCCCCGAAACCCTAGACCTCAACAACCCCTACCTCCACCTTCACAGTAGCCTCCTCAAAATACCACCAACCCTATAGACCCTAAACCATCATAAACCCGAATCCTACACTATCCCAACTCCCTAAACCCTAAACCCTAAACCCTGAACCCTAAACCCTAAACCCTAAACCCTACACCCTAAACCCTTAACCCACAGCACCACATCCGGATATCGGAGAGGCTCTTGACATGTCCACCGGGCCCCGGGAGGCGGCTTAGGGTTTTTGCGTTTTAAGGTTTGGGGTTTAGGGTTTAGGGTTTAGGGTTTAGGGTTTAGGGTTTAGGGTTTAGGGTTTAGGGTTTAGGGTTTAGGGTTTAGGGTTAGGGTGTACCTATAGTCTCCATCGTAGTTCCTGTTATGGCTGAACCGGTTCTATACATCGGATCCTATAAGGCACCACCCAAAAGGAACGACAATGGAGACTTTTGGCAGGGCTCAAGGTTCACACGCCAGCTTTGAGGGTTTAGGCCTTAGGCGGAAAGCGGCTAAGGCTGAGGGGGTGAGGGTTGGGGTCTCGGCTTTCGGGCTTCAGGTTTTGTTGGTGAAAGTGTGGTGGGTTTAGGGTTTAGGGTTTTGGGCGTAGGGCTGAGGGTTTAGGGTTTAGGGGATTAAGGTTTAGGGCTTCGGGTTCACGAGGAGTGCGAGAAATGCCCCCGCGCCTTGAACAATATTCGGATGGCTCAGCCGACGCAGCACCTCAAACTCCTGCTGTTCATGGAAAGAGGTGCTTCGTTCGATTCTGTCGACGCACAGCATGGGGAAAGTCTGGGTCGCACTTCTGCGGAGTCAAAACCATGCTGCAATGCTTTTGGCTTTCTCTTCGAGGAGTTGCATCTGAGACAAACGTGCCGCCGACAGGCGCTGAACAGCCGGCACCACATCAATTCAAAGAGCCAGGGTCAAACATTCAACCCCAAAGCCCCAAACCAGCTAGCGTATCGGAAACGGAGTGGCAGGAGTGATGCAGCATAAATCAACTTCGGTAGGTAGTCTAGCGCCGTCCGTTTTGGGTTTGGGGTTTAAGGTGTTGAACTTAGGTTTATATGGGTAGTTCTCTAAACTAGGGTCCCTTTTTATGGTCCTTGTTATAAGGGTGCCGTACTATACTGGGGACCCAAAAACGGGACCCTAATTTAGAGTACTACCCATACAGGGGAGTTCCGGCTTTAGGGAACTTTGTCGGTGAATGAGCTTGGGCCTCGAAGCTGAGGCTGTAGATGAACTTGCTGATGATCATTCTATACATCGGTTTAGGGTTTAGGGCTACCTGGACCCCAAAAGCATGTAGAAGAATTGCCTTTTATAGGTTTCGGGCCCTTATTTTACCTACTCTTGGGGTTCAGGTAAGGGTTTAGAGAGGAAACGGTGAGGAATCAGTCGTAGCCGTAGCTACAACGGTTGAGCATCGATGACCTGAGCCGACATCCTGCGCACTAGTGCTGCAGAACCCCAGCTGCACATCCTACCCAGAGGCTCCAACGTAGTTTCTTTTTGGGGATACCTTATCAATTCCTTCATATATAATATATAGTTGGTTAAACCCAAAGAAGGAACTACAATGGAGACTATAGGTAGACCAGTCGTAGACACATGAAATCTGCCACGGTGCTCGTACCAGTGCACCGACGACGACCAGGACGGTGACGACTCTAAGTAGACCCTCCAGCGCCATATCTGTGGAACCCTCGCATGTCAGCGGCGTAGATGCTGCGAGCCTGCCGCCGACAGTTCAACATGTCGTCATCCATCGCAGTCATGAGCTTCAAGGCCACCACCTGCTGCGGAGTTGCATTGTAAACTGCTTCTGGTTGGATTCTGCACGGGACTTCATTTCAGGTCACAAGATTCGCCAGTAGAGTTGAAGAATAGACGTTCCTTTCGTTTGCGGAACTCTCCAATGCATCAGAGGAACCCCCCTCGAGAGGAGCTGCCTAAGAGCTAACCGGGACCTGGGGCTTCAACAGCTTAGGGCCAACGGCCCTTGCTGCAACCCGCTAGTTCGAGATGCTGCAGAAAGCGAGAGGAAGAGAAAGAGACAAAAACAAGAGATAATAAGAGAGACCCTAAACCCGCCATCTTAAAACTTATGAACTGTAAACCAAATCTGTAGATCCAACAACCTAAAACCCTGAAACCTAAACAGGGGCTGTTGGAGGCAGTCTCGGGCTGAATATCCAAAGCCGAGAAGCCCCGACACAGGGGCCCTTAATCCTTAGAAGCGGGGTTTCTGGGGTATCTTGCACTATAGCTCTAGAGGTTTAGGGTTTGGGGTTTATAGCTCTATAGGAAGCATGAGGGTATATTGTCCTTATCATCCCTCATCCCTAAACCCTAATAAACCCTAAACCTCAGAGACTGACAGATCCCTTGCAGAAGCCTTATAGAATCCTTACAGGAACTCGTAAGCAGCCATGTTATGACTACCGTATAAGTTCTAAGTATTGCGACCCCCCAACCCTCAACCCCTATACATCCTTTAGAGAGCTCTTCAAAGGAACCCTTGAGAAAAGCGGTTCCCATCACTATTGAAACCTACTTGGAGGCCCAGGGGACTTAGTAAGTAGGATATAAGTAGAGTTATAAGTACCCTAAATAGAGTTACCCCATATATAACTCTACTTATAACCTACTTACTAAGTCCCCTGGGCCTCCAAGTACACCCCTCTGAAGAAGCCCGTCTTTGTCGCCTGAGAGTCTGCGCAGCGCTGGGCTCGATAAACCTCGCAGGCCGTGGAGACTAGGCTTGCTTTGATGACTAGGACTCAGGGTTTCGGGTTTAGGATTATGGTTTAGGGTGTAGGGTTCAGGTTTTTGGGTTTAGGGTTTAGGGTTTAGCGTTTAGGATTTAGGGTTTAGGGCTTAAGGTTTTGGGTTTAGGGTCATGGGGTAACTTATACTACAACGATAAGGGGGTTTTGGGAGTTTTGGGCTGTATTCCACGCTAATTACAATATGGTTTTTTGGCTACAACCTGCTATCAATACATAAAAGGGTTGCCTTATATAATGAAGTAAGTTTCGCAGTATACTCTACTATATGATTTTGATAAGAAGCCCTCTGGTGGCGTAGTTGTAGTCGTCGTCGTCGTCGTCGTCGTCGTCGTCGCAGTTCAACGCAATACCACCTTCTTAGGGGCTGAGTACCTCAGCCCAAACACGGCTAACCTTTTCAATTATGGTAGGGTTATACAAACCCCAAAATGTTAAAGGCTACCTAGTCAGCTACTAAGCCTTCGAAGCCTTGTCGAACATAGCTAGACCAAAAGTCCAAAACCATGAGTAGATAGCAAACCTTGAAGCCCAAACACCCTAAACCCTGAATCCTAAA